TGGGTGGGATGCGAGGGTAATTTAGATGAAGAGAGCAAGTATCGTGATTATTGCATCCATCCTCGGAATTACCGTCTCGTTGACATCATTTCACAGGTGATCTAATCGTCTAAACATGCTGTTTTTCATTGGAAAACTTTTTTTTCTCTTACTTTCTGTCCTACTTTATCTGTGCAAAAGTGAAAGTTCAAAGATGTTATATGTTTAAAGGGGAGAAAACCCTCTCATCTCTCTAATTAGATTACTATTCTGATCATTGTTAAGATATTCATATTTGTTTCTTCTCTAATTTAAAAAGCTATTATACGTGATTTAACAAAAGCATGTTTAGCACTTAAATTCAAAGCTGAGCCAAATAGTCTTTTGTCAAACTTTATAGAGATTTCTTCTTTATATTATAACCTCTATATAAGCTGATTTTTTTTTTTACTTTAAGAAAAAATAGTTAATTATCAATGATGGCATTTCATGCACGCAAGGATTGTCATAGAATGACTTGTGAATTATACATTTGTACAGAATAATCCGTGGACTCAGAAAGCTTGGAATTCCATTTCAATTCAATGCTTACTTGCAGCTTATGCAACAAAAAGTTGATTGGTTATAAAATAAAATGACTTAATTACAGCAAGCAGGGGTTGTTGAGCAGACAGGACTTTCTAAACAATTTCTAGTATCTAAGTATAGAAGATGGAGTGGAGTTGAATAGCTTTAGTGGTTAAGATTCTTGCCTTCTAATCCCAGGGTCCTGGGATCAATTCCTGTCACAGCAGGACTTTTTCTCAAGACCAAAAACAAAGACTACACCCTAAGCCTCATGAAGAGACTTCGCTGATAAAAGCATCACATTATTTCATTTTTTAAAGAGGGCCCCTGAATATCAGCCTACCCTCTAGAATACGCTGGAAGGGTCACCCTCTATAAATATGGTTAAAAAAGAAAATAATGGAGGTTGAGGCATAAAGTTGGCCACTTCTTACTGAAAACTTGTTGAGTAAAATAGTTTATGCATGTAGTAAAAAATGACATCATATCACCTCATTCCCTCAGGTCCCTACCTTTCTCACCTCTCACCCATCATGTTCGATGTCAATACTTCTATATAATATGCCAATGACACCTTCTATAATAAGCATCCTTAAATTTACCTGAAATTAAAAAAAATACCTGAAATAGAAAAATATTAAAATACTGAAAAATTCATCCTCTGTTGAAAATAGAGAAAGGGTTGTGGGGGAAAAATTATCTGGATTGACAAGAACTGATGTTATTTGAATGTTTGGAAAATTTAACACTTCAAACGGTAAGACATGCCTTGTAGGATCTGGCAAATAGGGAAATAAGTTTATAATTAAATCATATACATGTCCGTCAGCAGTGCCGTCAACCCTGATAATTACATGCCCTTTCCCCAGGAATCAGTGCTTTCCCCTCCTCTGCATCCTCTCTGCATTTCTATTTTAGATTTGTTTTCTGTTTCAATATCAAAATTAATTTTAATTACTGTACATGAATATATAAATAACAGAAATTTCAATAATAATTTTTAAAAAATTGTTTTGAATAATTATAAAAAATAATAAATGGCATGCTCATATTAGAATATTTGTTATTAAAATGCTATAGTTATTAATATTGGAGCTTTAAATTTTTTGCTCATAGTACTTTATCGTCCTATAATTTTCAATTAAATAATATTTTCCAGGTATTGCTAGTACTTTAGTGAAATAAATAAGTCATGCTTATATTTTTAATCAGGATAATGATTCTCTTAAAGAACAGTAAATCCTTGCCGAGCCTAGGGGCCCATAGGGCTGGAGCCCGGGGCCCATAGGGCTGGAGCCTATCCCCAGTTTCAACAAATGTGAAGCAGATGAGAGTGTAATTACTCCCCCTAGGTGGGACACTGATGTATGATTATTCTCATACATTAATTAAAAAGCTGTAAAATTGTGCTTTATCTGAGGAGGGACTAAGCCGCAATGACTGTTCGACGCAAATCTATGAAGAACGCAATACCACAAGACACGCACAAAAAATCGTTTTTAATTCCGGTCTGTTCAGACTGCCACCGATAATCGGCAGACGGCATCGCAAGGTCTAGCGCATGCACAGAGCGGAGTTGGATTCATCGTACGACGGTCGTACCATGGAGTGAGTACCCTGCTTAATGAAGCGGTGTCAGTTGAACTGACATTGTATACAAGTCCATGAATCTGTCTCTTTATTTACAATTAAGTCTGGTTCAATTATGTTGCAAATCCATTTCAAAGACCATGTTCTATGATGGTCAGTGATACGATCCCAATTCTTCTGCATAATAGACAGTTTGCTTACAATAATACAGTATAATGTTCCATTTTAGATTCATGTTTACATTCAATTACATCAAATTGATGAACATCATGCAATTTAAGTTCATGTATGACATTTGGTTCTAGAAACCTTATTGAACCAGCCAGTCATAAATGAGATAGACTTCAAGAAACAAATTTATACTCATGCGAAGATCTTATCAGGCTATCCTTAGGCTATGGTGGTAATGTAATTACCGAAATGATATTGTCCAGTCGTGGTCCGTTGATTAATTGCATAGTGGACAAGTGTAACTTGATCGACTATAGACAACCTTTAAGGGGAAGTTCAAACCTTGAGGTGTTGACTAGTCATGGTTGTTGCCAATGTCAAGATATGTCTAGTCAGTGAGGGGGACAACAAAATCATGAGAAGTAATAAATTGCAGATATGTTTTTTGTTAAAAACGGGTTTGAATCTTACCCTGTTGGGCAAGACATTATCTATTGTATATCTCTCTCCATCAAAGAGAAATTTGCTTACATAGGGGGTTCAACATGTTTGTTTGGTTTTCATTCAAGGTTCAGGAGTAAAACATCTAGTGGGATCTAGGGAAACGATTTCATAGTTTAGATAGTAAAAATGATGCAGTATTTACAATTAACTTTGGTTTTTTTTAGCAAATTGATATTTTTAATTTTGTTGTGTCCCACGAAAATAGTTTGGATGCGTGACTTGTAATGGAAATGCTGGAATTGTAAATGGTGATGTTATGATTGAGATAATGTAGTGATGGTGATAATGTGGTTGTGATGATAATTGTGAAGAAGATGATGATAACCAAGATGGAGATGATGGTAGTAATACTGGTAAGTGATAGAGATGCAGATAATCGGTGGCAAAGGTGATCAATAGTAGATGTGAAGGACATCTGGCATGGTAATGATGAATTTTATGATGATAAATAACTTGCAACTGTGACAGACCTGAAGGAAATTAAATGGGTGATTTTAAACATCTCTCGTGAATACTTGGATAGAAAAAGCAGATAAGTTTTGGCTTGTTGCATGAAGTGAAAGAGATATGACACAGAGATGATCTAGTTTGTGGAGATCCTATGCATCCCTAGGATATACCAGGAGGTTTTATTTTATTCCATTGATGGCAATCTAAATAATTTGTATCATATTTTAAAAATATATATGGTAAAGTGAAAGTATATCTGGCAAAAATCTCTCTTTATAATCTCGCAATTTGAAAACGAAATCCAGCCATTTCAATCGACACAAAAATCAATGTTCAGCCAATATGGTCACTATCAAGGACATTCATCTAATAATGATAAAATATTGTGCTGTGTTTTATATGTCTTTGATTCAATATTGAAATATCGGACGAGGATCAACAGTGAAGGTTAGATAAGTTGCAGATTTTTTATTCCCACCCCCAGGGATATCTGATATCTGACCTTTTGCAATGAAGTGCTGGAGTAAAGATTTGTGTACTTAACAGCTAGAGAGCTGGATTTGGTGTTAAAGTGTAAATAGTAGATACATGTAGGCCTATCTGGCATAGTGGTATAGTTAGTTAAGACTTATGTTACCTCGAGGGATCTATGATCCATTAGGTGCTATATAAATACAGGATTATTTATTTTATTTTTATTTATTTATTTTTTTATTTTTATTTTTATTTTTATTTATTTTTTTTTGATAATCAATCAATCAATCGAAATAACTTGTATAGCACCAAATTCCATCACATGAAGTAATGTTCGGTGGCTCTGAATGATGGTGGTATAATTTCATAGTGCACAAATCATAGGTTCGATCTATAAGCTGATCACATTTCTTAAGTTCTTGTGCGAAATCACTTATCTCCCATTATCCAATGAACACAAAACTGAACTCAGTATTGTTTTTGTGTCTATGCCCCTTGCTGGCAAAGACACTATGTTATGTTCTGGCAATTAAAGATGGCGAAAAGGATAAATCCGGCGGAGGTGCATGATGGGTCATGTGTCATCTTAAGGCACTGAAGCAACCACAGGGGCTTATTTCAGTTTCCTATGTGGATTTTCATTTATCCTCAGGAAACCACAAAAATACCCATAAAAAAGAATTAATAACCTATATATATGTGATTATGTTTTGAATTGTCATCTCTCCTTTAAATTGTCATGTCAAATACAACATTTAATGATGAGTACATTAAAGTACAGTACTAGATTTAATGTAAATTATTGATGTTACTTTGTCAAACACTCAAATTTGGAAAGTACTCTTCTACCCAGCTTCGCCATGACTAATCAAATTAATTTCTAGCCGTGTAATTGAGGTTTCTCTGTGAAATATTTGTCTTGGTGAAATCCAAGATGCTCTGTCGGTTGAAAATGTCAATCTTAGAAGCGACACCTTAAGGCAATGATTACACAATTTTGGAAGATGTGAAAATGATATAATAGAAATAACAGTAACAATTATAATATGCAGTTTTATATGATGTTCTTAGATTACAGTATTAAAAATAATATCTTTTGTCTTAAAATGGAATACTAATATTTATTATTACTTTTATAAATGTTGAATTTGGGATATCTTCTTTTCAACTGTTTTTCTTTTGTTCTCTCTATTTTTTTTCTTTTTTAGACACCCCTGGAGTTGCTACTGCGATTATAACTGTAATTTTTTCTTGTTATATTTTAGGATGAGCAGATAGCAACAGAGAAGTGTACATATCATATATCAGGTGGCTGCACAGCATTGGTGGCGCTCTTTGTCCTCGGAAAGTTATACGTAGCAAATGCTGGAGATTCCAGGTGAGTGCATGATTGCTGCTAATTAGATTACATTCGTAAAAAATCACATTGCGAGAAAGATATGTCTGCTGAATGCTTTTGTTAGCAGCACCCACTGACCATGTCTGCACAATACTGCAGATTTTTTATCATATACCTGTACATTTACCTACAGTCAACAAGAATTTAATGTAATTAATAATTACTGTATCAGCCTTGTCTTGATTTGACTTGGGCCTCAGATATCTGACACCTTTACAAATGTGTAGACCATGTTCTTCAAATCAATTTCAGAGAATATTTCAAAATATTAATTCTATTGAGACAATTTAAGTTTTATGTTGAAATTCTAATGTATTTTTACTGAGTTTCTTAATCAAGATAAGACCAAGATAACAATCAGGTTAACGATTCTAGAAATGTCCTTCAAAGAATTCCTGTGGATTGTTCCTTCCTAAGCTCTTTCAACCACTCCTTTGGTTTCCTTTTTACTTTCAAATACTCTACACAATCGTATTGAGGCAGAAATGAAATCCTGATTTAACAATAACATCCCATCCCATCAAAACATAATGGCCAATGGTTTTTATCACTTTTGCTTGCAATATCCGTAAAGTTTAGCGAGATGTTACATATATTAGTATTAAACAAACTTTCAACAGGGATGTGCATTCACGTGCACATTTCAATTGACGGATCCAGGAATTTGAAATAGATGGGGCCTAAAGAGGAACTTTCACAAATGGAGGGTCTATACATTAGAAACTTTATGATTTTGGCACCTCAAGATGGCCGGAAATGGAACTCTTTAGACTAAAAATTCGGGTAGAATTTTCTTTTTTTCTCAATTTTTTTTTTTTATTTTGAAAAATTTAGTGGGGGCCCAGGCCAGCTAGGACCCCCCTTAAATCCGCCACTAATTTCAGTGTAACAATTTGTTAAATAATGAATAAAGAACTTGTGCACAATCACCTTCAACATAATGAATATTAAGAACTTGCGCACAATCACTTCCAACTTACCTTGTTTATTGGTTATCCTTTAATGCACAGGCCAGGCAAGGCACATGTTACATTTTGTTATGTTACATTTTGTTATGTATGTTACATTTTGTTATGTTACATCATTTTGTTATGTTACATTTTGTTATGTTACATTTTGTTATGTTACATTTTGTTATGTATGTTACATTTTGTTATGTATGTTACATTTTGTTATGTTACATTTTGTTATGTATGTTACATTTTGTTATGTTACATTTTGTTATGTTACATTTTGTTATGTATGTTACATTTTGTTATGTTACATTTTGTTATGTATGTTACATTTTGTTATGTTACATTTTGTTATGTTACATTTTGTTATGTATGTTACATAAATATGTTTTGTTATGGTATGTTATATTTTGTTACGTTTTGTGTGTGAATTGGGTATCAATTTGCTCATATCTAAACTACAAAAACAACCTACAAACATAACATGAAAAACATTGCAATAGAAATTAGATCACTCCCTCAAGGTCTATTTGCTAGACTTCCAAGTAGAGTACTTAAAGGATAGATAACCGTAAAGTACCGATATTATGGTAACAAACTATTAAAGTGCATTTTGAAGAATGTTGCAAAGTTCTTTAGTAATAATTGCTGTTTATTAATATAGTTAATCATTTTCTAAATGCAACTTCTGCAGGTATCTGGAGTGTATTCCTGGTCAACAGTTAGTGATTAGATGATGCACATTTAAGCTTAGAAAAACACTTTCTACCAAGAACCATCATTTATCAAACATTTGTGAGATTTTAGTGCATCTCACAAATGTTTGTGAGATGCACTAAAATCTCGTCATGATTTTAGTGCATCTCACAAACATTTGTGAGATGCACTAAAATCATGACGAGATTTGTATTTTTCACAAATCCCGTAAAAAGTTGAGCTGTTAGAAATTGATATTGTTTCGGTGCTCAACAATATTACAGCTCTGCATTGTTCCTACTGCGAAACTGATCCATGTTTTTGATGTCCATGTATTACGTGGAAAAATTAGTTCAGCAGGTTTTGAGTCTTTTTTATTCCGAAAGCCTGGAACTCACTACGTCTTACGACTGCGGCCGTAGAATGCAACTCCGTTCCTTGTGACGCGATACCATCTGCTGATTGTTGGTCACAGTCTGAATTGTCATTTTTGTTATTAAAACGATCCATTGCGCAAGCGTGATTGCGCTGCGTTCTTCATGGAATTACGTCAGTCGACAGCCGCCGTGTATAGTGAGTACCTAGCTTTAGAGATTACTGAGTGGCCCCTTTACATGGTACTTTGTTTTCTACCAGATTTTATGATGTGGAAGAAAATAAAATTATGTATTGAAGTGTGTATTATTACTCATATCAGACACCACTCATAAAAGTAGCCAAAATTATCCAATTAATTGTCACCCATCTATCATCAAGTTAAATAAACAAGCTTTACTGATAAGATATCTGACAAAATATAATTTGATACCCTAAAATTTCTGCATTGTCATTATGGGTTCGTAAGTCGTAGATACTTCTAAAACGGACAAATATTATGATGATGACAATTTCAGTTACCTAGGTTACCAGTATTAAATTGTCACAAATGCCACTTTGTCATTTAACTTGACCTAGTAACCTTTATATACTGCTCTGTAATTGGTCGGTTTACCTAGTGCTCAATAAATCATCATAGATGTTTGTTTGTTAATTTGAAAGTCTAGACTAGCCTTTCATTTCAATGCATAAATTCAATTTATTATTATTGATATTTTATCAAGTCCCACCCTCAATCTAATGAATACTCATTCAATATCATATGTGGCAATGTGCCTAGATTTCTTCTAAATTAAAGGTTTGTTTGGGCTTTAATTATTATTTTACACTTTTTTTTATTCCCGCAATTCAACTCTTATTCTTATTAATGAATGCAATTTAATACTTATGAAACCAATGAATGGCCTTTCTATTTGGAGGTTATTAATATTTTCTATAACATGCTGGTTAAGGTTATTAGCATTTTCTATAACATGCTGGGGAATGGGTATAGGGAACAAATATTACCATCTATTTGTAGCATAATTTGTTTTTTTTGTTGTTTTTTTTTTGCTTTCTTCCCTCCATGGTTTAATACAAAATATGTATCCTCCTATCATGGCGGAAAGAAAAGCTTTCCTCCATGATTAAACTATTCCTTTCCTGTTGTTACTGGCCTGCCCTATTCCTTCCCTGCCCTAAATCTGCCACAAATTCCCATTCTAGTTTATCATTATTTTATATCATTACGACAAGTTCACTTCTCCAATAATAAAATTTGTCGTTTTGTTTTTTTTAAATTCAACTTCCCATGGTTTTGCAACTGTCTACTGTAGCTGTATTAACCTAAATGTATAGTAGGCCTACAAATAAGAATGTTATTCCCTACCCCATAATAATCCAAATTATCCCCTCCCCTATGCATCAATGCCACTCTCAATTAATTTTTTTCCCTACTTCCTAATTTCATTATGTTATCATTTCTTCCTAAGCCTACCGGAAATGACATGCAGAAATTAAAGTCCCGTCAGTACAAAACTTTCTATGTTCTACTTTTTTAAAATGTTGCTTTCTCAGTCATGGATCGTCAGTAAAAAAGTTTAAATACTTTTTTTCATTATTCAGAAAATGTTATCTAAGTACCAGTAATTATTTAAGTGATTAAAACCAAGTATTGTACATAATTTTTATAGCAACTGCCCTTCCAATCAGCATTAATACTCCTTGACCATCATTAATTGCCTTGACTTAGTAATGATTTTCATGCTAGTTAAACATTAATACTCCATCTAACCTATAAGTCCTCTTATTTACATGACTGATTGACAATACCATGACAATCTGTGTAGATACACCCTCTGATCATAAATTTAAAAAATCTATACTACCTGTGCCTGTATCTATTGGCATTGCATAATTGTTTAGTAATGATAATAAGGGTGATGCTGCACATGTTCATATTGCATATCCGCGAGATTTTCTGCTTGTTCATGGGCTGAAGGGGGAATTGTCCCAATTTCCGGGAGATCCTTTGATAGGAGGTTTAGAACCATTTGAAGACAACTACTCTAAAACCTACACCCATTCAAAACCATTCTTCTGTTGCAATAAATTTGCAACTTGTTCTTTGTATGAAAATTGGATTCTAAACCACTTGAAAAAGTAGAAAAAGTAATGCTGGTTCTTCATTGTAAACAGGTCCCTGTGACTGTGAAGGTATAAATCTAGGGAGTTTGACCTTCACGTTACGCTTTAATTTGTCACAACACACCAGCCTAATCCGTCATGATGCTTTTTCTGACCATCAACCATATTATTATATTTTGTCACAGCATTGCGTTTTACTGCATCAATAATATGAATCAGCAATGAATTTTCCTGTCAATTATGGATCAATCTTGTTCTGCAATTTATTTGATCTCCCTGGAGAGGACAACCGCTGTGTTGTTTAACATATGGTAGTTTATTCTATTCATGGTCCATTGAGAAAAAGAAATCCATGGTTTCATAAAACTGTCAGTAGAATATACATCAAAATCCTTGTTATGTTACATCTGGTTTATATAGTTAAATATGGTATGGGAATTAAATTCTTGTCAATAAAGTAAACCATAGACATTATTTCTATTATATAGTACTTTACTCAGGGGATAGTAGGCCTACTGTATGCTCCTCACTTGTGTACTTTACAGGGGCGGATTGCTATAAGGGGTCTTTAGATGGTCTTAACGGTTAGCCGGCTATAATCGTGACGTCCCTACTGGTCTATTATTATAGACCATTGCTATACCGCGGTCTAACCAGTTAGCTGTCTTAAAATTTAAAAGCCTACTCGGAGGAGGCTTAAAACGGTCTTAAATCATTTTCATCATGACGTTCTGCTGATAAATTCAACAGTGCAATGGCAAGACCTAGGCCTAGATCGTCAAAGTCGGAGAATTGAACGACTAATACTCCGCACACTTCTCAGCGTCTCTAAAAATAGGTCTACGGCGTTTATTTACATTCATTTCAATACATTTGCGTGCGTCGAGCACGCATGACGTCGCCCTCAATCTTACGTTACCAGGGAGTGCTTGTTTGCATTTCAATACTCAAAGCGGTCTTAGAAAAGACTGATTTATAGCAATGGTCTTAGAGGTATGACTTTAGTAAGACCGTCTAAGTGATAAAGCTGGCTTTATTCGAGGAGTTAAGACTACCAGTTAAGACCGTTTTATAGCAATTCGCCCCAGGTCTGCCTGCAATTAACGACCATGGTTTGAATGGTCTTTAACAACATTGGTCTCTAATTAGAATAATAAAGATAAAAAACCTTTGTTAATTTGGGACCACAGAAAAGTGGTCTTTAATTAGAGGTGGTCTTTAATAGGAGGGGTCTGAGATGGAGACCGGTATTATGATTTTAATGTCGGTTTCTCTCCTGACTGAACTGTGTATGCCTGCCTATAAATATTCATACTTTAACCTTTTTCACAGCAGATCTAAATGAAATTTAGAATACATGGCTATAAAAATTAATCTTTTATTGATTTTTTTAATATCAAAAGCGAAATTAATTTTTTTCTTAATGTCTTTCTTACACAAGCGTAATTTCCTTTTCTCCCTGAGGAGTATTTCTGGTTGTTTAATTTCATTTCAAAATCATGAAATTAATTCTCATTCTTAGTAGATACTCATCATTTTGTGGGGACAAACATAGGTAAATTGTCTTGCCTAAGGATAAGAAAACTGGAAGTCATTGTATATGAAATAGAAGAAGAAATGGAAGTAGACTTTGAAAGCAATATATGGAGTAGTTTGAATGAATGGAATAGTTTAAAAATATGAATTTGGAAGTAATTATGGAATATTTTGAAAGCCTTATATGGGATATTTTGAATGCCATATATGGAATAGTTAACCATATATGGAGTAGTTTAAAAGCCATATATGACTTATATATGAAATATATGTCTAAACCACAATAAATTATACTTGTGATGTTTTTTATTAATAGTTGGAAGTACTGTAATATATGGAATAGTGTTAAAGTCATATTATCAACCAGCTTTACTATGCAAGTCCAGATGTACAGTACATATCATTTTGGTAAATACCAATCTTTGAGATATGTATATTCTTTTTAATTACAGAGCAGTAATATGCAGAGGAAAAGAAGTTATACCGATGTCTTCAGATCACACTCCCTTGTCAGAACGGCAGCGCCTACAAACCATTGCCAAGCTTCATCCAAATCTCCTTGGGGATGAATTCGCCCGGTTGGAATACCAAAAGAGGGTTGGACGGAAGGATATAGGAAAGAAAAGACTGTATCGAGATGCCCATATGACAGGATGGTAAGAATAAAATACAGAATTAGTTAATTTAGTCTCTAGATATTCTTAAGTTGCTTCTTCAGCTGTCTTATTATGTAAATATCCCAATTCTGTTCTGATTAATGTTAAATGTTACAAATATTTATGTGCGCCTTTTCCTTATGGTCCAATGTGCATTGGTCAAACTCATTTTCAAATGTGTCCTGATCAAACCAATTAACATCTCGACAATATTTGATGGACAGATAAACCGACTAATCAGCGAGCGTCATTTATTCACGTGATCAAAAACTTCTTCTCTGACATTTTAATTTTCTTAGACAGCTGGTACGCGAAACATACGTGAGCCTAGGCCTAGATGTCTATGCTTGGTTATAGATACCCAGATTCACACGAGCAGTGCACATCAGTGACTTGGCCTTTGCCGACAACAAGGTTGACTGAATGCGGCTTTTCCCTCTTCCTTTCTGAGCGAAATACAGAGGCTTTTACAACAATTTCCCCGCTATGTTTCATGAAATAGATTAACACTATGAATATATGATTCATTTGCATACTGCCTACCCTGAATTCTCTTTCTTAAAGAAGGTTGATAGCAAAGAAAATCTTTGCCAACTCGGTAAGTCTAGCCGCCATTGTCTAAGGTTTTCGTGACTTTGTGGGCGGGGCTTCGCGTCCTTGTCGACATGTCAATTATCACATACATATGTCAATGACAAAGACAGAAAAGATTTACTTTTTGTTAATAGATGCACCACTCAAGAAACTTTCAAAACAAACTTATAATCATATCTCTTCCATAATGCATTCCATTGAATATTTATTAGGTGGAGGTAAAGCGTTGTAAGATGGATACCAGCACTATAAAAGTGCTCATTTATTTTTGTTATGCTTGATTATGGAAATTTTTGAATTTGTTGAATGTTCTATTCTAATGGTATAATACTCATCTTTACTGTTGAGTAGCAAGGAATTTCTCTTCTAGCTTTGAATTTGATGCTAATACCTTATCAAAAAAGACAATAAATAATCTTGACACAGACATTAGGTTTTTTTCTTAGAAATAGCATGCTACTAACCAGCGTAAAGTATCTTCCCTCCCACTCCTCCACTGCTGATGAACATCAATCAGAGGAACTAGATACAGTTGATAATCCATGCACTTTCTCTGATGCCAAGATAAAACACATCTTGAGGGTAACTGATAGGTCATGTAGGATCATAAGCGGAGATGTCATAATGACTTAATTGGTTAAAAAAATAATGAGAGCATTCACCCGGAAACCCATCAAATTTGACACATTTTTCTTTTATTAGTTTTTTTAAAAATTATTATTCAACTGTGACTCACCACCTCCAGGTTGGAATTTGATGCTAAAGAGACTACTGACTAAGTCTCAACATGTTGCTTAGGGAATAACATGTGACATGCCCAAATATAGTCAAAATGGCATCACATCATGACTATATATGCACATACAACAGCTTTTTTTGTCAATTGAAAATTTGATAATCTGGACAACTTGTGTCAATTGTGGTAAAGCAATCATATTTTTATAGGATATAATATACTTGCTGTTGGATGCGAAAGATACAAAAATAAGACGTTGCGTATTCGTGTATTTTTTTTTTTTCATTGACCAGGGATTATTGCATAAAGCACAACGAAAACGTTACTTGTACAGTAGTAAGTAAAGCTAAAAAAAATAATAGACTTAGTTTTAGGATTGTGCTTTACTTAAGCACCTGTCCGAACTTGACATGTTCCGTATATTCTCTTGCTCCACTTAGCAATGGGTACTTTCCCTTTCGGTCTTGGATCATTTCAATTATTTCCGCTGCAGCGAATCGACAGTAATACGTTGGATTTCGTCAAATGTTGTGAATGAATTGATAATTTTCGCATCATTGTATAGGCACGGTAATATTGGATTGTTTCGCAGAATTTTCATGGTTGTTTTTGCTTGAAGCAAACCGAATGAACTTAGGAATTCGTTAACTGGAAATGTTGTCAATTGATTGATTTTTTTTTCTGATGTAGGAAAAGTCTATGAATATTTGATAGACTGTAATTTGCTGTTTCTGTTTCCATGAGTAATGTTGATTCATATTTGTTTTCATTATGGTTACTCACAGTAGGTTTGCTGTCCTACCTTCATGTTTATTCAGTAGCTCATGTTACTGTATGTAAGGCAAGACTTTATTTGTACCTTGTTTCGTGAACTTTTTTTTTAAGATCATTAGAGGAGGGCAAAAAAGTATATATATTTTTTTTTTGTTTTTTTTAATATTAGCAAATAGTTGCCAAAAATATCCAGATGGATGAGAAAATAAAAATAAAATTTTATTGGTGAATTTAAACAGTGTCATAATGAGATGGTTAAATGCTTTATATAATTAGGAAGAAATATATCAGTTGAACCTAAGTCGAATCCAAAATATAATATTGTTTGACTTTACATAAAATTTGACTTACAGATTGTTAAATAATGGAAAACACAACAATTTGGCATGTAAAATTATATCGACTTAGAAATTATTCAACCTAGGCACAGACGACTTTAAGGCAAGTTTAACTGTATATCTTATTTTCGAAGATTTCAAGGCAGCAGCAGGAATATACTTAAAAATTTTTAAAAACTTTTTTTTTCTGCAATTTCTATATTTTCGTGGTGGTGAGTGCACTAATTGGCCAAAAATAAAATTTTATTTTCATTTGAAATCATTGTTATTGGTGGACGATAGGTTCGCTAAACAAGGTGTAACAGTCTCGCCTTAAAAAGGCATCATATACATGTTTTAAAATGATCCACTGACAGGATCTTTAATCACCTGGTCTGATACTTTATGCAACTAGATAAAAAGTAGATTTATAGACTTAAGGCTCCCATTGTTCAGTTCCTACTAGACAAAATACACGCTCACAAACTATTGTTGATTTGAGTAATAATAAACAATATGTGCGGTGATAGTTTGATACGTTAGTCTCCTGTCAGATTATACGAGTACTCCTCTATTATGCTACTGTTTCAAAAAAACTGAATACATCAACAACAATGGTAATGGCTGAAAATTTAATATAACTCTGAGGAGTCAGCTGCCCCTCGTTTACATTAAGATAAAACACATACAAAAACTAAAACAACAGACAAATCATTTCTCTCTAACAGAATTTTGCAAATGAAAGGGTTCCTATAGCAGGGCGCAAATAATTATTAACCGTTAATCATTAATGAATATTTACTTAATGCTGGCAGTTTATCTGTCATTTTTAATCTGACATTTTATTTTTTTATTCAGTTATTTAGATGTATCATGGTAATTTATATTTAAATTTTAAAATATTGTATATATACTAAAGTAAAAATGAATTTTATATGACAAAGTCCAAGAATGATGATTTAAACTTTTTAAACTTAAATAAAACACTACTACCTGTAATAATTATATAATTTGGATCTACCACAACATTCACTTGACTACTCCCCGCAAAATTGAGCAAATTTAATATTGGAATAGATTGTTGAGTACTAGTAATTTTTTTATGTATGCCAACTAATTCTTAAATTCAGCGCAACCGTGACTGCACTTTCTATTTAGATCGGTTTCACTTGACTGTTACTAAGGGAGATGGAATGAAAATTGTACAGCATGGACCTCGACATGCCGATTGTAAATTGAAAGAAATTCAGTCAAAGCATAGCAGTAGCAGGTGTATTTACACATGTTTATTTTCTTTGAATAAATAATCGTTAGTTATCGTGGACGTTTGCTTTTAGCTTGACGTTTGCAATTTGGCATTTCCTAATTGGGTGGGTAGCATAGCACTGGAATCTTGAACAGGATAATTATGGTATTAAAGACTGTCTGTGAAAGAATCGGAAACCCTGCAGAAAACACTTGGAAACCCTGAAAAAAAAATCACTGGGAAACCCTAAAAAACACTGGGGAACACTGGGACACCAAAACACTAGGAAACTCCGAAAAAATAACAAAAAAAAAAACTGGGAAACCATGAAAAAAACAATTGGAATCCATGAAGATAACACTGGGAAACCCTGGAAAGAAACCACTGGGAAACCCTGAAAAAACATTGGGCACCTTGAGAAAGATAATGGGAAACCCTGAAAAAAAAAACCACTGGGAAACAGTGAAACAAAACACTAGGAAACCCTGAGAAAAACATTGGGAAACCCTGAAAATATCATAGGGACATCCTGAAGAAAAGCACTGGAAACCCTGAAAAAAACTGGGAATCCCTGAAAAAAAGACAGGGAATCCCTGAAAATTAAACTGGGAAACCCTGAGAAAAACACTGGGAAACCCTTAAAAAACACTGGGAAACCCTGAGAAAAACACTGGGAAACCCTGAAAAAAAAACTGAACCTTAATGCTCATGCCATACTACCACCAAAAATGTAATTGTATTGTGTTTTAAAAGGATGAAATAAGTAATACCAAGTATCAACTTGAATGAGTAACAGCAAAACAGTTTGTGCATATGTTTGCTATGATTTAAATTTAAATGTTTGCCAGTTTAAATCTGTATGCAATAAATATAGGAATGGTTTTATACATCTATTAATTCATGAGGATGAACTGCAAGCTGATGATAATGCTGGTAACTAACAATACAAGAGTGTCACTTATATCCTCATATCTCAATTGATAGATTTTCCGAACAGTAAAGTGGTCTTGGGATTGTTTCCTTATTGAGACAATATGTTTTTCTCAAAAGTGTTATATTATCTTCTATGAATATACAAAGTAGCCAATTAAACTATTAAGTTTAATTGTTCTAAGTATACGGCATGTAAATATAGACAGTGATTCTTAATATTCCTCTGTTCTGTTTAATGAGACCAAGACGAAGGAGGGCATTTACAGGCTTCTTAATTCCTTTACTTCCATACAACGTATCTCACAAACCATTTCCTTAGGCCATAAAGTTATCAAACGCATTATAGTAAAGTACACCAGAGTACACTGGCAATGCATTACTCAGATTGTATGACGTAGTT